CCCCAAAACCCCAAAACCCCAAAACCCCAAAACCCCAGGATGCAAAATTCGAGAATCTATTGATGTTAGGAATTAAGAACATAAATATATTATGAAATAACAGCTATTGGTTCATTTTGAAATTATAAATATGAATTCAGCCAATAATAAATTTCAACCATTGCTGCCTCAAACTCAAAAGATATTGTAAAGTATTTAAAAAGTAAAGGTAAATGGATTCAGCAAAAATGTTAATGAAAAACAAATTTAATCGAAATGTATCGATATTTCTCAGTCCCCTGAAAATCACAATCTATAATTAATTGAAAGTAAATAAAATAAATGTGAGATAAATAAAATTATCTACTCAAACTCACCAGATCAAGAAGTGAATTATAAAACTCCATCTAAGCTTTCTCAAAAAGATCAATAAATATAAAAGATATCAAAGAAAAGGTATACTATATTTTATCTAAGAAAGTAGAATGATCAAGAAGATCAAAAGATTAAAAAAATGTTTAAAAATCTTACAGATGCCATTATTTAATCAAATCAAGATGAATAGAACAAAAGGTAAAAATCTTAAATTGAGTTTTCATAAGTTTAAGATGAAAAAGATGCTGAGATATTTAAACTTAAAGATATAATCTCAAAAAAAGATAGTAAAATCGAAGATCTACATCACAGCCTTGAAGAGCTAGAATATTAAATGTAGTAATTGATATAAAAGAATAACCAGCAAAAACTACCAAAAAATAATTAATTAATTAAAATGAAGAAAAGACTCAAATCCCTGAGTCATATCAAAGAAGAACTCCTAGAACACTTCGACGTAAATGAGAAATAATATTACTAGTTGATTATTCAGAATATCAGAGTCCTTGATAAAATGGAGAAATTTCTTCGAATAAATATTAATGAAAAAAAACACAAATGAAGGTAATAGTAAGGTTGATAATTTAAGAAATTAAAGGTAAATTCATAATCATTAGTTAATTTCAATAAATATTCTCAATCATATTAATTATAAGCTTTCTTGATTCATGGGGTTTTGGGGTTTTGGGG